GAAAAAAACCCAGGATTTCAGGTAAGCTAGTAATGGAAATCCTGGATATAGGTTATCAAAGTAGAAAGAGAATGGAAGTTGCTGAATATCAGGTGTGTAATCATTGATCATAGTCAACAAAGGGGCAGCGCATTTTCCAAATCTCTCCTCATACTGGGAATTTGATCTTGGATTTTTTCTCTGATTGATCTCGAAGTTTACAAGATATCCTGCCGGAGTGCACAAAGACCAGACTTTATAGCCGAAGCGGAGAGTTTAACCTTCTATAAACTGTTTGCATCACTGTCTGCCAAAATATGCAATCATGCTCTCATCGTATGATAAATGTTGTTCTGGATGGAAGTTACTAATCATATTGGCTTTCAATTAATTGTGATTGGACACAGTTTCCACATCTTATCATTGTCTGTAGTTTTTTTTCTACTGTCTTCAAAGTGGAGAAACTGCAGTACTAGCTGAAACCTGTTCCTGCGCATTGATTTAATCATCAATAGATTTCGTAAGTCTTCATCAGTACTCCAAAGTGTTCGAGCTCGACTAAGGTAATTGTATCCAGTATTAAGTAGAATAGAGATGAAAACTTTCAGCTCTTCGACTGCTACATTTCGATTTGATTTACCCAGAAGAACTGCATATCTTTCAGATTCGACACAAATGTGTTGTAGTAAGTGATTGTCAATCTTCTCGAAATGTCCATGACGTGTTATTCCAGAACAATCTGTATAATTAGCAGCCGGAAATATGGGTAAACTACCAGAACAGTTATCCTCTTTCCGAACAAATCTGGTATCTTTAGCAGCTGGAGGAATTTCAGCACTTGATTTGAAAATGGTTACTTTACGTGAATGTGAATTATCTATGCTTTATAAGTGGTACACTGGAGTCGCTGCTAGAGTTCTCTTCTTCTAGTGAACCGATTTGAACAGCATTGGAACAGTTTTCTAGTTCGTCAATTGAAATGCGATCATCAACGAAATCTGCGTTTTCCGAAGAATGGTTGGATTGTATGTATTCCATTGAATCAATTCGTCGACCAAAAGCCAATACAATTACACAATTTGATTTTAGCTGTCCAGAACATACGTTATCTGGCATACTTTCTTCTTCATCCTGACCATCGTCTTCACCACTCAGTACCCCGTCTCCTACTTCAGGTGGTTCTATCAACAGATGCTATTTCATCTAAGTACTCCAAGGCTTCTTTCAAGGATATCTTTCTGTGAAAGAATGAAACAGGTATGATTTGCTTCAAAAAAACGCTATACTTTGCGTAGAAATAATACAATTCCAAAGCATTGCACGAAGAACCTACACGCACACACATACTGTAAAAAACATAGTAATTTAAAAAATAGTCGAATGACCCAGCATTGCCATAAGGCAACATGGTACAATATAGGTGAATTACCCTCACTTGAAATCAGCATACACATCATGAATAATATGCTGTCAAAATACTCAAACCTAGGATGAATATTTCACATTATAAACTGAACTCATAAAAAAATATTATTTACCTTGTCATGTATTTGGAATCCCTGTATTCTGACATGTTTTGATGTACGCACAAATTTGCCACCTGTTCACTCCGTAACGACTAGCCTAAAAATAGCTTGCGGCTATTCGACGAATTGCAATATTCTTGTGTGTCGATAAAAAAGATTTCGTTTGCCTACAGAAGGTTACGGGGGTCGGTTGAGAAGTTAGATTCTATGGCTCTTCGAGAGTTGCCATATGGCAACGCGGGGACAATTCGGGTTAACTAGGTGTTTCGTATATCATGAAAAAGTTTTCACCAGGTGATATATTCGAGGATGCTCTGTCGAATTGTCATTAGCTATCCCCTGAAATGAGCTTTGTCAGCCAAACACGCCTGGCTCAAGTTTCACACCCATATGCAGTAAAAATTGATTTCTGCCACGGGATTATAGGTGCAACCTCTTGCGCGCACTTCCGAAAAAAATGAAAATAAAAATAACACAAAAGAAATATGAATTTTGATCTATGAAGAGCATGATATAGGTACTCTGGAATTAACTCACCATCAGATACCGCCAATAAGTAAATATCTAGTTGCCTTTTATACTCTAGATCTCTCGAACTGCGCTTACGCTCTACGGCTAGATTGATCAAACTGTCTCTCAAATGGATCACGTTACTAAATAGGTGATTCTTGGTGTCAGGATATTGAATTGAGAAATCTTTCAGTAGCTATAACAGGTCCAACAAAATTACGTCACATGTTATATCTGTTATATTTCATAAATCACGTCATTGCATGAATCATTCCAGAAAAATCATTCTCACCAATTTATAACCCTGATGCTGCTTTAGTGCTGGGTATCTTTTAGAGTACTCAGCAATACTCTCTCTCTCTCGATTTCAATTTTTTCAAGCCGAAGAGTAGCTGTTTCCTTCCAGTACAGTTCGACCAGGGCCCAAGGCTCAACACTGTTAGCTAGCCACTCCAAGTGTTCGTCAAGCATAGAATTCTCTGAAAGACATAATAATATTAATGAAGCTCTCGAAAAATCCACAAAGTTGCTTTTTTCTACGGCTATATAAGACAAAATTGCTCTTGTTTGATTGTGTTCGATGAATCAAAGAGTTTCTTTGTATGTCATCAATTTCATTTTCGTATTTGACTTCACAATGACTCCATTGTGTTATTATTTCAGAAAATCTCATCTCACATGGAATATCAAATTTCAAGCAATGGCAAAAATCAGATGGCTACAAGTCGAAGAAATAAAACATTTCATCTGTTCCAGCCGTAGAAAAGGAATAGTGTATAACTCGCACGAAATGCTAATTTCCAACTCGTATGATTTGCAGCATTCGCCTACAGCTCATGCTGGATACTTCATTCCTGTGAGAAATTACTATCATTCGGTGCTCCTGAACAATATACTATTTGTTGATTCACGTAGCAGCAGTATAATCTTTGGTAGATGTAACAAATAATGATGATGGCTGTTTTCAATGAAAGTGAATATTCATCATCCTTGGTGATGTGATGAACACGAAAGTATGTGTGCCTACAACAGTCGGCAATATATAGGTCAAAAATAAAAATATGGAACACAAAATCTTGAAATAGAATGAAATACGTGAGCATCAGTTTCCTATTTGCAGAAATTGAAACCCTCTTCTCACGATTGTATCAAGTTTTGATAATAAAGATGATGGGTTTTATAATGATGTAATAATAATCATGATTTGAAAATGTTGAAGACCCAGCTAGGTATAATACCCTAGACCAGGGATCACCAATTAGTTTCACTGCGGGTCCGTATATAACAAATATAAATCTGTCGCGGTCCGTTTGGTAGATGATAACGAACAACCAAATCAGATATATCAATGAATGAATAAAATCAATAGAGATCAGAACATTGAATTATTAAGTAAACATTCGAATGAATAAAAACGGAGTAAGTACATGATGATAATGCGAGAAATGACATTTTTTACTCTGAACAATATGTCTAAAGTCTGGTGTTGAGTTGGTGCAAGCTATTGCCATCAGATCCTGGAGATGGTTATCGGTAAGACAAGATCGAAATTTATTTTTAAGTTCATCTTGGAAAACGCTGCTTCACAAATATATGTTGATTCGAATATTGTACAAAATTTCAAAGCCAAATTTTTCAGTCCTAGGTATTCATTACCACACACAAATTTCATTCAAAATTCTTCGCAAACAACTTCCGAATTTCTGTGTTTCAAAACAGTATTTTCTTGGAAGTCGATCAGTTCCATCTGAAGAGCGGCTTTATTACTTCCGAAAACATTCACCGCTTCATTGCTCCATTCACCATCGGGCTGTAGAGAGAAAATGTTACTGATAATTTCCACAACGTTCTCAATTTTCTTAAAGTCCGCGAATCTGTTTTCGAATTCCGATTTGAGATCATTCATAGAAGTCTTGTATTGGCGACCTCAATTCCTTCTTGCCACTGTTCACTATTTTCAGATGAGAAAAATGCAAGAATTTATTATCAAGATCGTTTTTCAAAAGATCAAGTTTTCGTGAGAAACTTTCCACTTGAGACAAAAGTTCACAAACGAGCTTTCCTTTCCCTTGAAGTTTGATGTTCAGGTCATTGATATGTTTGAAAATGTCCGATAAGGAAGCAATGGTAGCTACATTTTCTCTATCGCTGAGGAATCTTAAATAGGCGTTTGCTGAAGCCTGATCATTTTAGCTACATTTTCTCTATCGCTGAGGAATCTTAAATAGGCGTTTGCTGAAGCCTGATCATTTTGGGAAAAAAATGTTTTCAAATCTCCTAAAATTGTAAAGAATCTTTGTGAGACGCAGCCTTTGCTCAACCACCTTACATTATTGTGCAGCAGTAAATCGACATATTGTGCATCAACTTCGTCCAGAAATGATTTCAATTGACGATGTTCCAGTGATGATTTGACACGCAGGAAATTTACAATTTTTATCACTTCTTGCATCGTCTTCTCGAGATTGGCACCAAGATTGCAGCAGAGCAGAGTTTGATGTACAATGCAGTGGTAGAAAATCAAATTTTCATTAAATTTTGCAGTGGTACGCAACCGGTGAACCAGTCCTAAACTACTTCCAAACATCGCTGGCGCCCCGTCGATCGTTACTGATATTACTTTTTTTTATGTCTAATTCATCTTTATCGAAATGATTCATTACCATATTGAACATGTCTCCTTGGGTGCGTCCTAATAATGGCAAAATAACCATCATTTATTCAACAAAAATTTCTTCGATTTCATTCAGGTAACGATCAGAAATTATCAGTTGTGCTGTATCAGTAACGTCGCATGATTCATCCATATCCGAGACATAATGGTCTGCATTTCTCAACTGCCGCTTCATATCACAGTGATTTTCTTCTGCCAAAACATGTGTATTTCTTGTATGGAATTCGTTGAATTGTCTCAATAACATCTCTTTTATTCTCAAACAAGACATTGCTTGCCTCGACCATGCATTCCTTAATGATAGAACGTACAAGCAGTTGTTCTGCTGGAAGCGCTTCCAGAAGTACTTTTGTACGTCCTACTGGCAGGACGCTCGCTTGTCCGTCCAGAACTTCAAAGTGTCCTTCTAGCAGGACGTATTGGAAGATCAGTCGCAACAAGTGAGCTAGAGCGTTTGAAAGTCTGAGGATACATTTATTTCAGTGGTGGCACAGACAATGAGATAAACGTATGCAGAAAGAAATATATTAGGAAGTAATACAGGGTTTCGTTGATTTTTTTCCTATTTGAAGCTCCCTACCAATTGAATGAAAGTTCTGATAGTCAGTTTGGATTGCTGTTTTTTCTTCAAGCGGTAAGGATCCCAAGAAATTCTATAACGATCCCCAACTGGTGATATTGCCAGAGTCCAGGGTACAAGAAAAAGAGTAATACTGTTCAAGGAACGAGTTTTGCATTTTCATTTTTGAATGGATAAAAATAAAAAATTCACCTTCCTGGGTTTAGTTAGAAAATATTTTCATCTGTAATAGATTTGGGTCAATTTTTGTTATATTCCCATCAATGTCCCACTTCACTGTGACGGTATTACTGGATTTTATTATATTTTTTACAATCCCATAACACCTGGCGGACTGCCACTGGTCACCGAATTGGGAATAACTCCACGAATGATCATTTTTCCCATCGAAAGTGGTGGCGAGCCCCGAAACATGGTCACCCACAGAAATCATTTTCTCGACTGGAATATCTTTCTTTTTAACTCGTCATATCTTGCTACTGGGTGGGGTTACAGTTTCGAATAAAAAATGCGCTGAAAGCTCATAATCTGCACATTATTCCAGACGCACTAAAAATCCTACCAGAATCACAGAAAGTACTATAATTAATAGAAATCGAGCGTCCTCAAATGGGCTGATTCCGTCCTGCTGGAAGGACGCTGTACATGCTATCATTAATTATCTCTGAGTCGGCGAATGGTTTCATATGCTCACCAAGAGTCCAAGAAATACGTATGGAAGTCTCACTACAAATTTTCTGTTCAGTCATTGAAGATGAACTTGCGATTTTCGAATTACGAACGTTGATGCCGGGTGGGAATTTTTTAGCAAATGATTTGTGCTTGGTTTCATGATGTCATTCAATATTCGGGCTTTTTATTAAACCCACCGTTTGTTGACAAAGCAAGTACACTGGTGAAGCTTCAGCACGATTTGGCAGCGTAAAATCAATTTTTTTTCTGTTGCATTTTTATTATGGATCCATCGTCGTAGTGAACAACCTTCAATAACTTCCGCTGTTTGTTACTGAAAGTGTTCAACTTTGTCGAAAATTGGCAGATTGGACTTCAATATCGACTCTGTCCTACCTGGCAAAAAAATTAAGTTGGACTCTCCAGATCCATCATTCCTGTAAAAAGTTGTGACGAAGTTTTTATCTAATGATGGTAGTTTATTCAGGCTTTTTCAAAATCCAAAATATGGCAATATCTCATCGAATTCATGTCAAAAAATAAGACAGATGAAGACTGTAAGGAGGCTGAAAAAATTTCCAGAGGACAATCTGCTTGTCAAGATTGGTATGAACTCCGATATGGACGAATAACTGCATCCATACTATATGAAAGTGCCAGATTCAAAACTGAAGCAGGTTCTTTGAAGAAGAAAATTTCAGGGGCGAGTCCACCATTAGAAACTGAAGCTATCAGCAGAGGAAAGAAATTGGAGCCCCTCGTGATGAAATAAATTTCTAAATTGAAAAAAATTGAGATAGCAAATGCTGGGCTATTTTTGAAAAAAACAATATCCCATGTTTGGAGCATCCCCAGATGAGATATATTCTGAATATGTCATAGAAGTGAAGTGTCCCTACAAGGAAAAGACTGTCCAGAGATATATCAATCAAGGGGAAATAACAAAGAAATTTAATTATCAAATTCAACTCCAGATGTTGTTTTGTGATATGAATAAAGGATTTTTTTGTGTGGCTTCACCAAATTTTGAGAATGATAGGAGAATTGTAATACTTGAAGTGCAACTTGATAGGGAAAAAGTTATGGAAGTTATGGATCAAGCAAAATTGTTTTGGGACACTGCTATATATCCTGTTTCGTAAATATAATGAATGTTGATAGAGGATTGAATGAATCACTGGTTTTTGTACATGTGTAACTTTTATTTTATTCCAAAATGTCAAAAATTTCATTAAATAGCATATTGTTCAAAACAAGAAAGAACATCTACATATCTCGAGTAAAAATTATACATGTTTTGTAAATATACTGAATGTAAATAGAGGATTGAATAAATCACTGGTTTTTGTACGTGTAACTTTCATTTCATTCCAAAATGTCAAAAATTTCATTCAATGACATATTGTTCAAAACAAGAAAAAATATCTACATATCTCGAGTAAAAATGATACATAATATAATCAATCATAAACAGGTAGGTAAGTACATAATTTGTACATAATTTCTTAAGAAAGCATAAGATTGAAAAATCACTTGAATTTATCCTAAAAAACCAAATAAGTAATGATACAAAAATTATGTTATATTTAAAAGAACTATTGATAATTCTTCATTATAACAGTGGTTTTTCTAAATCAATAAGGGCACATGCTATAATTACCATTGAATGTAAATATTTTATGAGGTTGTTATTAACAACAGCATGAGGTTTCAAAATGTCAAATTCTCTTATCCTGCTAATGACTCTCTGTATATGAATACGTAATGAGGATATTCGTTTACTTTCTTTCACTTCATTTTCAGAACTTTTCATATTTGTAGTCACAGAAGGTGGTCGAATTAATCTGCAATTTTTCTGATCAAGCAAAGAACTTATGTGCTTGAACCCTCTGTCTGCCATAACATGACATCCTGGAGATATTTCATTTAAAAAATTGCTTTGCAGTACTATCCTTGTCGCTTATTCTCCCACCAAAACACTCTGATATGAAATTGATAAATTCAGTGGGTGTACTAGATACCAAGAACTTAACTGTATTACAATGCTCATATTCAGACCAGGTACTGGCCTGTGCTTCTGGGTCAGAAGGTTTTTTAATTTCGATTTCGAAACAGTCAATAATATACTGTACCTCAGCATATCTGCTGCGAAAAGGTATTGGTGATAGTTGTTTCAAAATTTGTGGTTTTGGGTGAAAAATCATTACTTGTAACACGCTTGCTATTCTTGGAACCATATCTACAAAAATTTGTTGGATACGTGAGATGCTCAAACTAAAATTCAATGATAAACGGAAATAAGTATCATTCAATCCGATTTTATTCAGTGTGATCAAAATATATTCTTTGGGTACTTTTAATTGTGGATAACATATTAATTATATCATAAAAACTTTTTGAAATACCAATGAAAAATTTTTGATACTTTTCTATAAAGTTGATAGTGATAACTTTTTTAGTTTCTTGTAAGTTTCATCTGTAGAAGAAGGAGTGTCTGATGAATCAGGTAGGTATTTCGTTGCTGATGATATGGAACTCATATAGTTTGTTGAAATCGGGGAAGAAGAAACATTTGGATATCTTTGTCAAATTCTGTAGATAGCTTACCAGTTCTGGCGCAAGAGGGCCCTTCAAAATGGGCTATTTCTCCAGGAAAGTTTCAATTGTGTCAATGGGCTCCAATTTACGAATTTTATAAGATTTCCTCCAATGCTGTAAGGCCTCAGAGGTTGGTTCAACGTTTTTCTTCAGACACACATAACTGTTTCTAGCTTCATCTGATATTTCAGGTTCTATGTTTTCTGAAACAAAAAAAAATCTTGTATTGTCTGGACGGTCCAGCTAAATAAGGAATTGGGGGACCAATATCAGAGCAAAACATTATATCATTAATTATTTTTGGATTACCTTTTTCATTTAGTCCCGTTGTCATTGAAGGATTCTTCTTTGGTTTGGTTCTCCTTTTTTAAATTACTGATAATCCAAAACAGGTTCCTTTGTTTATCTGCTAATTTACCCCGTGACCTCTCAATGAGACAATGAAATAGGTAGGCGATTTCTCATTAGGAATGGAATCTTCAATTTTTTTCGCCAAAATATGCAGGTCTTCTTTCGATAATCGTTTGTGTTTGTTTTCGATAATCGTTTGTGTTTGTCAATCAAGTGTTTGGTCAGCAAACCCATCCCTTTCAAGATTTGAAAGTGCTTGATTTTTCTTCGATTTGAACAAGATTGCCTGTTTAACAATATCAGACTTCAGAAACGCTATCAGGTCAAAATCTGACAATACAAAGTATGAATGTTCTTCTTCTGAACTTCGGCAAATCTGCAAATCGGAGGCTGTTACATATCCTGAAGTCTCCATGGTTATTGGGGTATTTGTTGGATCAGACAAACAGGTTTTTGAATTGTCCTCAAATGAATCAGGTTGATTACTAATGAATATGATGGGTATATTGCTTTCATGGTTATCTGTTATTTCGGTCTGCCCTCCGATTGTCTCAGCCTCGGTCTCAGCTGCCTCAGTAGTCTGCCATTCTATCGCATCCGTGTCTTGACCTTTTTTCCTTTTTGGAGTTGCATCATACTAAAAACATATTCACATGTACTCCTAGCAGTAATTTTGAATTCAACCTCATTTCAGATTAGTAAAAAATTACAATTGGAATATCTATTTAAATTTGTTTCAAATGTTCATGAGGTTTTTCAGGAAAATCCTGAGTTTCAGTATGACAGCTTAGGGGAGAATATTTTCAACAAAAATTAAAAATATCCAATTGCAATATGTACTTGAATGACTGATTTCTGACATACGCAATGTTGAAATGTTTATAGAAGGTGGGATTTTATTCACGTACCATGCACCAAGATTCAGGAACACCCTGTATACTTCTCAGGAGTAATATCAGACTATAATATTGAATACCTGAATACTCATTTTCAATAATAAATAAATATAATTGTATACAATCTAGGGGTGGGCAAATTTATCGATATATCAATAATTATCGATAATGTTGATGATAATTCCGATGAAAAATCATCGGTTAATTGATTATATCGATAATATAGATTTATCGATAGTATCAATAACATCAAAACTATCGATAATATCGATAATATCGATAATATCGATAATATCGTTAATATCGATAATATCGATGATGATATCGATAATATCCATGATATAAATACTCACCTCTATATTGTCAGCCGTGTGTATACTTTTGATTGCTCGTTTCAGTTTTATTCTGTCCCCAATCCTGCTGTCCGTCAGGATATTCAATTCCAATTCAGACAGATATGGAATAATTTCTAAATCATCAATATTCTGTTCTGAAAAAAATAGTACATTGTTTTATTAGGATCAAATGTGATACTTTGTTTGACAAGCGATATTTGTGTTTGCGAGGCGGAGCGACAGCGAAACCGAGCACGCAAATTTTGCGAGTCAAACAGAGTCACTTTAGCTTCAAATTTAGCTCCTAAACACTGAAAGTGTTGCCTAGCAACATACATACTTATCATTTTATTGTGTCAGTAAGAGAAACATCAACTTCAGGAACTGATTTTGGAACAAAAATGGACGACTTTTGAGCCCAATGCAAAAAAATATATTTTTCTCGAAATGACATTAGAAGTTGCTTTTCAATGACACTTTCAACAGGCAGAAAGTTTGTACTTTTGCTGCCTTAGCACGAAAAGTACTGTCTAGGCAGAAAAAGGTTGTTGCTATGCAAGTTCCAATAAGTAATAATTTGAATCAAATTGGTGAACATAATTGACAATGACTTTGGGTGAACACAAAATGATGGATTATTTGACCTTTGCATGAAATTGAATCGAATGTGATTTGAAGAAAAAAATATAAGTTTCACATGGTAGAAAAAAAGGTTCAATGCCTTGGCTGGATTTCTAGGCCAGCCACGGCATTGAATCTTGTGCTTTTCTGCTTAGTAAAACAAAGAACTATATAGGTACCTACCTACCACATATTTCCAATTCCAGAGGATAAAAACATGAGCAAGCCTTAAGCTTTGTCTATTATTGGAACAAGTAAATCTGTTTTGAGATACCTGTATCCATTTAAATAATAATCTGATTGTACTTAGGTATAATCTTCAATCAAAGAAATTCTCCTCGGAATTATCATATGTTGAGGATATTCACTTGGTCCTAAAGATGTATATCAATCTAACTAGAGAATTATCTTATTAAAAGTACATCATATTTCGTTTCGAATGGTCTCAACTTTCGTTAATCTAGCGATAAAGAAATATCTCTTTTGCTAAGATTATACTGTTTTTCAGGAAGATCAGTATAATGAAAGATGCTTGAATAGGTACAAATATATCCCCCATTTTGATCAGTGTGTAGGCTATTCATGGAAATATCAATAGGTGATACACACCTTTCCATACAGAGGTCATTCGAATGTAATGGATTAAGGTACTAGAGGCAAATATGGCCCACCTAAGCTTAACGAATCTTTTAGTCTCCATCTGAATTTTTTAGGTGAACAAATTTTACATCAAATTGAATGTTAGGTATCCTGTTCTCATACGTATATGACATAATTCCCCAAAAAGAAATTTGTGGAAATTATGAATTAAATTGTAGAACCCTGTAATCGGGCCATATTATACTATATTCGGGTTATACGGTCCATATACTACACTGCCTTAAAAATGAAGAATAATGAGTTTCTAAATTATATTATAGGAAAAAAGGGGAGGGTATGTATGTAGTGTTCACAAAAGCAATAAATACGAAAACATTAAAATGAATTGAAAACATTAAAAAATACACTAGAATTTATAAAAAAGTATTTAAATTTCTAGTTAGCAGCACTCGAAAACATTCGTAAGTAAGTGAATTAACGGTAACTCAAATAAAAAAAACTTAAAATTTATGAAAAAATACTTGGGGTTTACAGTCAACAACACTCGAAATTATCATAGTCTTCAGGCTCTAGCCCAACACATACTTCATGGTACCAAGTGTTACATTTTACACATCTTCTCATATCCAATTTGTCTTCTTTGTGACAACTTGCACAAAACCAAGACTCTCCAATAATTGGTTTAGAAGTAGACCGATCTTTAGAAGTAGGTGCAATGCTTGAGATAGACTTGGCTATTTTGTTTTTCTGCTTTAATATTAATGGAGTCAAGGGCTTTGAAGAAGAGGACGAATCATTATTTTTTTGGGAAAGATCTTTTTTAACCTGTTGGGCCTTGTAATTCAAAGATTTTCGACGAACGGTTGTCCTCTCAATTGTTCCATGTGGAGATTGACGTGAAGCATCCTTGATTTTTCGTGCTACAGTTGATTGTGGTATTTCCTGATTCTTTTCAGCTTCATGAGTCGAGAGGATTTCTTTAAACGTCTCAATTGTTTCATCTGGCGAGTGAGGTGAGACATTCTTGATTTTTCCTGCTGAAGTTGATAGTGGTATTTCTTCATCTTCATCTTCTGAGGATAATGTATCTTCAAGGTTTTTATCTTGAGCTGGAATTGCTCTGGCTGTTACCAAAGAAGGCGCAAAAGCTGATTCATGTATTGCATCGGGATTTACAGGGAATAGTCCCGTTGCCTTAAATCCGCTCAAGATATTTTCAGGCGTCATACATTCGGGCCATACACGAGTAAATATTATGTTGAATCGTGCTTTGTTCAATGTTTTTTGAGGGTGAGTATCCCAATATTTTAAAAGTTCCTGGTCCCAATGGGCTTCATAGGAACGAAACACGGCCTTATCTAATGGCTGTAGTTCATGGGTTGTATTCGATGACAAACAAAACAATGTAATACCAAGAGAATCAGCCGTTTCTGCAATAGAATAAGCAAAATGTCTCAAGAATTCATTAAATAGCTCCGTTGTCATACTTCCCTTGGGGGTCATTTTAACCAGCGTCCCGTGAGGTAAATTATCTGAAAATTCAGGTTTTAGACGTTTTCCTTTGAATATTATCATGGGAGGAATACAATTGCCAATTGCATTGCAACAAGCCACAATAGTCACATTTTCCGCAAGCTCAGGCGCAACTAGATGAACTCGCTTTACCCCCTTCTCAGTCATAACACGTTGCTGATGGTGAATAGTAAGCCGGCAGCCTTTTTCGTCCATGTTATAAACATTTTGGGGCTTATCTTGTCTAAGGTTGTCATCATTTCAGTTATTTTTTTAAAGTAGTCCGAAACGATTACCTTGTTCAATTTCTGCGCACGAGCTGGATTCATCGCTTGTGCTTTTCGCACGGACAAGTCGGGATTTCTTTTATGGAACAGGTAGAGCCAATCTTTTCCCACAACCTGTCTTTCTACATTGAAATTGTTGGCGATGTTGTTCCTTTCACAGTAACGAAACATTTGAAGACGAACCAATTTAGGAGTGAGAGGCAATCCAACTTCGCAATATCGTTTGATACGTTGTACAAATAATATCTCCTGCTCGCAAGTTAAAATGCTGGGACGACCTAAACGTTTAACTGCCAAGCCCTCATTCTGATATCGGTGCAAAGTGTGCTGGAGTACTTGAAATCTCGTGAAAACAGTTCTTTGAGATTCTCCATTTCTGATTGCTGATATAGCTCTTTCAAGTTGGTCTTGCGACCACTGCTTTCGCAAATTTTTAAAAATTTTACCCATTAGAAAGCTGAAACAATGATTGCAAGTTAGAAAATCTATTTTTTCAATGAATTCGTTGGTGATGGACAATATGGCCCACTGTCAGGTAATATGGCCATTGGCCAATATTACCCACCGTTGTATTGGGCCATATTAATCGAAATGTATTTTTAAAAAGAGGTTATGTTCAATAAAGAGAGAGAATTTTAGGACCAATTCAATATGGTATGTACAAATAACTAACAATATACTTACTTACCTCAAAAATATTCCAGCTTGCTGCAATATAGAAGATGTGAGTTACGTGGACTAGAACCTAACCCAAATATTACATCAGCGTGTACACCAGTCAACGGCTTGTTCTCAACTGGCCACAACTTACAGAAAACTCGTAGAAGCGGCGTGCGAAATGAACCGTTGGGAGTGTCAGGCATGCGTAAAGAGCCGGCATTGCCAGATTGCTCATAAGTACCCAAGATTCCAAAATGTCAACTTTGGGCCATATTACCCGTTAGGCCATATTTGCCTCCAGTACCTTATAATAAAATATCCCTACATCAACATGAAAATAGATCTAATACCTAAAAGATATATAATAAAGGTATATAATCTCATTTTGTGTTATTTATAACGACACAATTAATGAAAATATATGCAAACATACCTTGGAAAATAGACCACAAGTGTTCTAAATTGAACTCCCGAAGAAACGAAAGAACTTCACTTAAGTCACTCATGACGCGACAATCGACAATGGAAAATTTAAGAAACACTGTACCTAAAGTTCTAATAAGTGCGAATTGCGTATACCGACTGATACCGACCCAAAGTTACCAACTGACTACAGTTGTGTGGCGGTGAACACGTGATCACGTGGTTCGGAACCAAAGGAGGAAAGATACGTGCCGACGCAAAGCACATATGGGTTTGGGATAAGGTCGTACTCTCTGGACAAGAACCGATAAATTACCAATCTTACTCCTAAATAAGGTTTCCTCAGAACAAGGACTCAATTCGTCAAGATAATTAGGAACTATTGCGAAGAACATGAAATCTCTTTTAGCAAGAATAGATGAGTTTCAACTGAATAAATGTCCTCAATTGTAAATAATCAACTGCCAAGATAATATATTATCTTGTCATTAGGAGTCATTTTTCTCAGTGTACACTCTGGTTTTCGTTCTTGAGTTCGGTGCGTCCTACGAAAGTTCTTTCAAAACTTGTGCAATAGTCAGAAAGTTTTCGGAACATTTCCTGATTCTTCTGTATTCTGCTGTCCAACGCGTTTTACAAAATAGAGGTATATTTGGAATTCTATTTCGCCGCAACGTACTCTCTCTGAAAGAATTTATAATGTATTTTGTAGTCCCAGCAGTTTTTTCCACTTCACTTACAGTATTTAGGTCATTAACGACAAAATTCAATGTAATTCTTTGCACAATGAAAAAATAGGACTGAAGGATATTTATCAACATTAAAAACACAAGAGCTTATTTTATCGGATATATTTTTCTTGGTAACGAAAAACATTTGCCGATCAAGAATTTCACGAGAAAAACTGACAGATTTCCGAGAGAAATGACTGATGGAAAATGTTTGAGTTAGTAAGGAAATTTATCGAATAAAAAAAAGTTCGAGTGTTTTTTGGATAAATCAAAATCCAATTAAAGATACATCGAACACAATATGCAAATGAACAACGATAATGATTACTTTTATTGATGATTCCGTGTAACTGGTAGTTTGCAGAATTGATTTTCTAAAATTTTCATGGTTTCTTCAGATGAAATTTTCCTAATACGCCACATCTTGCTAATTCACGCGTGAATCATACCCATCAATCAAACTTGACACGACAGAAATTGGACTGACATCAGGCGCAAATAGCTACTAGATCAAAGGAGCAGGCAGGCAGATAATAAAGGTACATCGTATCCTTGGCCAAAAAGTTCATTCAATCGCTTTTTAGAACATCGGAACAGATTTCAATCAAATCATTTCGTATTTGATGCGATATGTATAAGGAATTTTCTGCTCCTGACTCTCAATGATTTCTCAAAATCTCGTCTCCCGAGTCAATTTGAAAATGTAGCAGGTCTGTGAAAACAGAACCCTTGTCGACTTTCCCACGGAGTGGAAGATCATGTCGCTCACAAAATAAAATTGTTGACACGATAGATCGAAGTTTTAATCGATTTCCTTCAACTTCCTCATGATATGCTGTATTTAACGATTCATGAACGCTAATTTCTTATCTATCCATGATCATTCCAATAATGTCACTCACTTTTCGCATGAGACTGTGCGGCTTCATGGAACTTTTGATATTTGAGGCAAGGACAAACTATAAAATGTCTTTGTAGACTGCGCTGCACTGGAGGCCGAAATAAAACACAAATCCTACACAAAGGTCCTTTCGCTATAGCTGAGTAGGCTTACCACGGATATGTTGTAAGACATTCATGTCGGAAGATTCTATCAGCATCAAAGTTAACGTCATTTTCGAAACTGTACGTTTTACTAGGATTCCAAGGATTTCTCAGTGATTTCAAACGTAGATCATCATTGACTTGTTAACCGAAGTCCAAAGACAAAGCAATATCCAATGCTGAATTGGTTGTGCTTCTGCTTAAAAATCTAGACGTGTTGTAAGCAAAAATTATTCTAATGTAATGAATAAACCAATGAATCAACGCATTCAAAACAAAAATCAAAAATTAATCTTCTGTAGTAGTCCATACTCAAAGTGGAGTGGAATGATCAAGAGAGAAAAACTCAAAGTCGTCTCCACAAATTTTGATGTCTAAGAAGGCAGTCAATCCTGCTTCAATAAGGTTGAAAGTTGATACATGTTTCGGCCATTCAAATGGCCATCTTCAGTCAAATTAGCAAAGTGTATCTACAATAGAAACCAAACATGATTTTATATAAAGAAGAAATTGAAATGGAAAAGACAACAACAACAACAAAAATATCTCATGAAATGATTTACATCCTTAATATACATTTTTATTACTTCTATACATAATCTTCCTCGAGAAAATAATAATGGTTTGAATAATTGATGAGTTGCAAATTCTGTTGAGACTATTATTCACCATGTTTTATGGGTACCGGTTACAAGAAATACAAAAATGTATTTTCTATTCATATTTTTCAATGTCATTTTCCTCCGCATGCCTCTGTTTATGCAAATAATGCATATTGCATTGAATGATTTGGGTAAAAATACCAACACAACATACCTGGACTATCTAGTCTGTCTGTATCCGTACTGGATGTCTTAATATGTGGTGAATCACTGGAATCAGCTTCATCAGAATGTTGATCACGTTTTCCACGCAAAAAAGTCTGATGCCTCTCATAACTCGACCAAAATATTATAAAAAATACTTTCGAAGGACTATAAATATAGTCGCTGGTCAAAGCAGACTTATTAGACAAACTGATTTGCGCCCTATCGATAACTACAATGTAATGAATATTATTATCGGTTAGAGAAAAGGTTGTGTATACTTAGTTTTATAATCAATATTGATGAGTAATACTCGGGCTATAGTATACAATATTCATCATATCAACTCAAACGTTTTCGGCTCTAGGCCATCATCAGGAGAGTATCTGAAAAGTGAATTTTTCTTTACAGGTATCATGTGTGTGAAATATTTGAGGTTGAAAGTTTGTTAATTTCGGAGAAGAAAATATGTGAATAAAATTGTAAACTCACTTGTCAAATAGTCTTACAGAAGATATGCATTGAAAAAAATGAAATTGTATCATTCAGCATTGGTTATTTCATGAGATGTTTTTGGATTTATCCAAAATATTTCAAATAGCAATATCAATTGAGATGCTCTTCCTTCTACTTTCGGGAAGAAAATACATACAACTAAATAAATTGAGACCGGACAGACAGATTGACATGAAACGAAATGATAGAAGATGATTAATGACAGTGACCACGGAAAAAATTAGAACATATGACAAGCAAGACAGAGTAAATAATTGAAATGTGTGTGTGACGTACATTGTTGTCAGATCCGGATAAATAACTGCAAATTGAATTGAATTAACAAATTGCAATCGGTATGTTATTATATGAAATGAATATGTAATGATGTCGCACCATTACTCATTACCATGAAAAGATTCTATAAAACAAAAAACATTCTGAACAAAAACTCTTAAACTGATGTCTACAAGCTATTGAAACTGATGGATATGTTAGTATCCATCAAAATGTGTGACATAATCTCGTGCTGTTGTTATGGTTGAGGTCGTTGAATTTTCTGATGATGGCTTGTAAGCAGGTATCGGCGTGAAGAATGTTCTTTTGTTCCTCGCGTTTATATTCAACTGTTTCAGTCCTAGCTCTTGCACAATGCCAAAGATTTTCCCTTTGGCTTCATTCAGAAGAACGGGGTCGAATGATTTGAGTGTAACCTCTATTCCACACAAAAAAGCATCAACTGGATCTTGTTTGTCGATTTTTGAGCTTTGTGTGTTTGCTTTTTTCTCAGCATCGTTCTCAGCTAGAATGAAAGCCATGAGCTGGCTCGCTGGAGAGTCTTGAGGTTTCATTTCACGACCTGAAAACGTCTTTTTGTTTATTGGACTTGGAGTGATACACTTTCTTCTTCCTGCTGATTCTTCATTTGTTGTATTTGGTGAAGCTGAGTCTATCGTCAGCGTCTTTACTAGGGCATGGTTGGTCTTCGTTGTGATGTTCCTCTGAATTACTGATGTTTTCTTCTGTTTCTTGAGTGACTCAAGAGTCTATACTATCTCCAAAATCATTATCTCCTACATCGTCTTCTTGTGGTACGTTAGAGAGGCCTTCCCTTTCACCTAGATGAGGTATCAAGAATGTAATAATATCCTCATATCTATACTTGCGGGCTTTGCGGCAGCCTCGTCTTTTTACTTTTGTAGTTTCCGCTGTGTGGTTTGTACTGAGACAAAGAACATCTCGTTTGATTTTCCATTTTAGAACAACTGCTCCATTACATTTCCTCGCGATAATCTGGCCTTTTTTAGTTTCGTCGTTGTTACGCTAGTAGGGTTCAATTTTCGATTCTTCCTGACCGCACCAAGTGAGTTTTCCGTTTGAGGAGCTCTTGAGCAAGAGAAACACTGGTATAAAAATTGTCAGTGAAGAGAATTCTACCTTGATAAAAAAGTGGCTCACTTTGCAATACAATTTTTGCTGATGCACTTACGTTTTGATCTTTGTCATTTCCACAGTAAACTTTCAGATCATAAGTATAGCCTCCTTTGCAACATAATTTATATAGTTTGATGCCAAATTTGAACCGTTTCTTTTTTATATATTGTTTGAAGATGAGGCGTCCTCTAAACGGGACTAGGGTTTCATCAATACAAATGTCACGTTCGGGGATATAAACTTCTTTGAATTTATCAGTCAATAGTTTCAACAAAGGGCTCAATTTGGCTAAACGGTCACTAGGATTCACATATGTATTTGTTGCTGAAATGGAGCACACGTAGAAGTAATTCAAAGCGATTCCTAGACATTTCTTCAGAAATTCTATTCGAATGAAGATGACTTTTCCTCCAGTAATCCACCATTTTGGGAAACCTTGCTAGGCCCATCCGCAAACAGATAGAAAAACATATTCTTATTTCCTCTGCATCAGTTTCCTTCCATCTATGAAGTCGCGAATTTTTATGAATTCCTGCATTGATTTTTTGTTGTGCGTATCGATTTGTTTCAGTAACCATGAGACTGACAATCAATAGGACCTTTCACTAAATGGGATTCCCTAATTTCATTCGTGGGGCCCACCGAATCGACTTGGAAATCAATTTTTTTTAGGGACGTCCCTGTAATATATGACCAAATTAATTCTTCCACATTTTCGTTATCCTCACTCTCATATTCATCTATGGTGCAATATTTGGAAATCATCGCTTCAATGGTATCTTCTATTGATAATTCTACATTCTTGGGGTGAGGAGATTGCCTTGAAGTTAAAGGAAAACCGTCAGATCATTTTGGCTAGGCTTAACTTCCTTAGAAATTTCGTTATTTGACCTAAAAAATACGTATTTTAAAAATTATGAAGGTAAAAACCTAATTTCCTAGAAACATAATGATGATGTCGGTGATTGTTTTTCTTTTGGAAAAGAACATCTTTATATTTACATATAATGTTCTAATAATGAATTCATCTGGGAATGCATCCATTGGTAAGAACGTTCATGAAAGTTTAATCCTGTGATCTCGTGAGGAAACTGCGACAGATATTTCTTGAAGGTCAACAAATTATTATCATCTGGTTCGTGAAAGAGCAATCATATGATCTCGTGAGGAAGACTGTTAACACTCGAAGGTCAACAAACTGTTATCGTCTTCTGGAAATGAATTCATTGGTAAGAATCTCAATTGACGATGTTCTACAAAAAATGAATTGTTGAGACAAAATTTTCTAGGTATTCCGGCGAATGATGAGTGTGATGGCTTTTTTTGAGCTGACTCCAATAACCTCAGGAAGTGCTTTGCCGCTGAACCTCAGATTCTCTAAAAGTACTGAAGAGATGGTTCAATTTGAACTTCACAGAGTGTTGAATTATGGAAGGTTCCTATTGCTCCATCATTGGAACTTCTTCAAATCTTCATGCACTTTGCGAATCTGTTGCTGCGATTGCTTTGGTTGGCTTCAGCAGAGCAACTAAACGTTGATATGCAGTAGGAAAAATGTCAAAGGTAGAATGAGACATGTGGTACTCCTTCGCCTGTAAAAAAAGTGTTCTAGATGATCATGTCAATAACGACATGAAGATATCGCAGGAAGATGCTTTTACTGCGCAATCGCTCCAGCTTGAGCGAACGCCAGTGCGATAGACGTAGATTCTCCACATTTTTCTAGGAGGGAATTCCAGATATGTGTTACATATTCTGTGTCATCATTATTTGAAATTTGAAGTGAATTTTTTGAAAATTGTCTTCGACTACTGCAATTTGGACATCTTTGCATAATACTTAGATTCATTCATAGCGTTTCTTTCCTTCTGTTCTTTAGCACAGCATATACTGAGCCTGGAAACTAGGTATTTCTGAAGTATATTATTTGAAAACTCCTTTTTGTGTTCATGACAGCCCAACATTTCTTTTGGAGTGAAATTGGATTATTTCTCCATGATTACCACAAGACAATTTTTTTTCAATGGTTGTTCCAAATTATTTGTAATCAAAATCTCTACTTTTCGTAGGAAGATGATGAGTGCATGAGATGGATATGTTAAAAATCCTCTACTTTTCTTTTCAATAAAATCATTAAACCTCTCATCTCCCTCTCCTACTATTCTGCTTACACAGTTATTACATTTGCTGCTAACTTTCAGGGACTTGGCAACATAGCCGCAAAAGTAGGCAAATGCCTCATCAACTTCGGAGAACTCTTCCTCAATTTCCTCAATTCTCTCGTTGATTTCAATATCGAAAATCAATTTTTTCCTCTGTTCTTTCAGGTCTCCTACTAGAATAAGGGATTTCATCATTTCTCAATATTACTGACCCTTGGTGCCTTTATTAGGGAAAATAAACACATAAGTCGGAATATCTGTTCGTCTTGTAGATATTCTGGAAAGAATTGTTTCCACCTGCTGGGCTCATCATATAAAAAAAAATGCTGAAAGAAATATTATAGAATCGAGAATAAATCCACAGATATCAGAATACTTCTAAATGGTCCTGGTTTATCCTTGTTGTCATCAAGTACTGGAATCCAAGAGTTTGAAGGTATTGGATCAAGAGATTGTGCCTTCAAACCCTCAAATGTAGATTTGGACAGAAATAGCTCTGGAGAAAAACATTGTTCCCAAAGATCCAAATATTTCAGAAAGTCTTCAAGCTCCTGAAACATTGATTCAATGACCATTGTTGACATCATGCAATAACAATCCCATCTAATAAATTATTCTCATCAGGTGTGTATTTTGTACATAATCTGTAAATTTGTGAAAAATCTATGAAAAGTTGAAACATTGCTTTGAAATTTTTGTCAAAAAATTATGGCAACTTCCAATGATTGAATATATATTATTATCATAATAAACATGATAATATGAAGTAACATTTATATTAATTATGAATGATCATCTTCAGGGAGATTTGTTTTTTTTTTTCTTCCTTTTTTATCATTCTGTTTTCATTATATATATATCACAGTTCAAGTGATGGAATATCACAATTCGAACATTGTTACCATATACAGTGTGGAAACTAGGACTGTGCGATATTGAAAACTTGATATCAATATCAATGTATGCTTTAGTATCGTTATTTATCTATATATCGATATATATCGATATTCTTGCACAGCCCTAGTGGAAAACTATGATAATGATGATTAAATCCGTATCTCCATAGCAGGAAGATAATCTAAAAAAATCCTTGGACAGGCCGATTTTCATTTTTGAAAATCTATTTCTTAACCACGTGTCAACCTACTGCCCTATACAGATCAACCCCTTCAAAATTTTCAAATTGTACAACGGGTTGAGTTACAACTTTTTAGAGAGGTATTCAATTCTACACATTCTACTCCATTCATCGTTATTATTGCCCAAATCATTAGTAATGATAGATAGGTACTGTTTCATTGTATATAGGCGTAGATTGACCTGTTGAAATATTTAAAAAATCTGAAGGAACTGATCTGTAGAGCAGGAGGTAGACAGGAAGTTGAACATATTTATGTAAAAAATTAGATTTTGAAATGATCGTTGACCTAACAAGTGCGTAAAGAATCACCTTCCGCACGTGTTAGATTCACTATTTTTCATACTAGCGTAGGGAAAAACCCAAATCACACTTTTCCGCACTCATTTTAGTGTTGAAAGTTTTTCCGAATTAGTGCGGAAAAGTGGATTTACCGCACCTAAGTAGAAAAAAAAAATTTGACCTGCCCGAAGATTTTTTAGAGTATATTCCTAATCTGAGAATAGGAATTTTATTCCATCATAGGTTTCTACACTGTACGTTTTAGTTCAAAAACTGCCTTGGAAAAGGATAAGGATACGATGGTGGATTAGGGAAACGTTCCTATGTCTTCATTACTTATTCACTGAAGAAAGAAATAATAAAAAAAGTAATTAGTCTTAGAAATATTCAAAATATTTTGACTTTTGCGGATGAGATTGATATGAAAAATGGAAAATCACTTTTTTCTTCCAAGTTATCAAGATTCATGTATATGCTATCTTCATTTTTGCATGCAATGTTCATCTTTATTCTAAAATTAACAAAATCTTCATGCAATATGTCCTAAACCTCAACAAATATTCAAAATATTGTATACAAAATTTATGAATTTTTGATTTTTCAGGTGTGCTGAGGTTGAGTCAGAAAAGCAAATAGTTTTCAATATGGATAAGAAATTGTTTGCTTACTCAACTTTTATGTGTAATTTTGTACTTTTCACTAAAATCTATTGAACAGAAATTCACCTCAGCATAATTTGTAACGAAAATCATTCATGTTTGAAATTCTGAGAATTCAAGATAAATGTCCATTTCCTCTAGTGTATTTGTATAATATATTCACCTTGTATTCTTCA